TATATATATATATATATATATATATATATATATATATATATGTGGAGGTTCAAACGAGAACACCTCCATTTTACAAGAACACGAGAACACCCTTATCACATGTGATAATACGCATAAGAGGACCCCGTGATGTGTGGACGAAGTATTCTACGACTTAGGCCCCGCCAAAGGTTGTCTGGGTCTATGATTTAGCATCACATGTGATGATCTTGATGGATTATAGTATCATATCAACAACCTCTTATCACATGTGATAATACTTGTGATGGGGCTTAGTGGTGTAAGGGCGACTTGGCCCGCAACCAAGATCGCATCGAAAATCATTCGCATCTCTGATTTAGTATCACATGTGTATCATATGTGATTGTCTATAATAAAAGGGTGTTCTTGCGTTCTCGTAAAATAAAGGTGTTTTCGTTTGAACTATTCTCTTTCTCTCTCTCTCTCTCTCTCTATATATATATATATATATATATATATATATATATAAAGAGAGAGAGAGAGAGGGAGGTTGGTTATTATACAACCCTTGACATTTGTACAACCAATACAACCCAATCTCAACCATCAATTTCAATTGATTAAATGAAAACCACCCTTATTTGTACAAACCGTACAAACCACTCTCATACGTCGATTTCATTGTACAATAAGTATTTTTGGAAAAAAATTCATAGATGAAGATAGTTACTATCACGATGAATAAATTTATGGTACTGATTTATAGTAACGGGTTGGATTTTGGTGAGAACGAAAGTTGTGATGAGAAGGATAAGAAATTATCTCTACCATTGGATCAATCCTAATTGAAGATCAACACTAATACGGTGCATAGAGATGTACCAGATAATTTATGTGATAAACGCAATTCATGGGGGGTTAGATTAAGGGTCCAGATCTTTTCTTATGCTTCTCACTTGACTTATATTCTTACATGATCCTTATTTTATTAACTTTATTGAACCATATTTTTCAGTATTTAATAAAAGACAGAAAAAATTTATTTATATATCAAATAAAACATCACGCTATCATATTTTATAACATCTACAAAAAATATTTTTATTTATAAAAGAGTTGCATATAATATATAAGGGGGAGTTTTAAATATAAAACATATGATTCTTACAAACGCTACAAATCCAATTTCAACTATTGATTTTGTTTATTTTGAAATTTAAAGGCGGTTATAAATTGCGATTGAGAGTAAATTTGAAAACCGATTTGATCCACACCGTTGCTTATTTACATGTATGGTTGAGATCAATTTATAAAGTTTGAAAAAAAAAATGGATCGCCTCCGGGGGGCGATTGGGTGAGGTGGATTGCCCCCGGGGGTAGATTCATTAAAATCGAGACAAACAGTGTTTGATTTCCTAAAGGTGATGCATGTGGGACGCACCAAATTGATTTTTTTAATATTTTTTGTACTTTTTTGGGCAAAAAAGGGGGATCGCCCCCATGGTCAAACCTAGCCCCTCGGGGGCGATCCGTGTGGGTATTTTTGCAATTTTGGTAAAAATTGGCTATTTCGTTAATATATCAGGTATATTTTGGTCATTTTGATGAATATCCCTTAATTTTTTATGGTTTAAATTGAATCTTATGAATCTCACAAATTAGTAAGTCACTAAAAGAATGCCCCAACACACACACACACACATATATATATACACACACACACACACTTGAGATCATGTGAGACAAAGTTGTTTTTGTGAGATACGTGAGACACGATTTTTACACTTGAAACTTCACGGCAAAACACCGTGAAAGTAAACTTTACAGTGTTTTTGTTTTAAAGATTCGTTTTTTTTTTTTTTTACTTTTACAACATTTTATTGTGAAGTTTCAAGTGTAAAAATCATGTCTCACGAAAACAACTTTATCTCATGTAAACCCAACTCTCTCTATATATATGGTTAAAAATTACGAACACTCTTGACAAAAATACAAACTTAAGTTTTAAAATCAAAATATAATAACTCCTAAAATTTAAAAAAAAATCATTAAATAATTGTTTTCAGTTCCACCATAAACCCCTCTTTCATATCTCAAGAAAGAGTGACAAACTTGCACTAATATTGGATCTTAACTTTAATCAGTTTCACATAAAATTCGTTTTCAAAGATGTAATATAAAGGAATATTTTTTTATCTGATTCAACGACTGATACTAACAGACCTGTCTTATTTCAAAACTTAAAACTATGGGTGCTTAAAAACTCGACCAATCCGATCAAACCAACCCAACCCAATGCAAAATAACTCAATCCGAAGCAACCCGATGTCTAATCGAGTTGTAAAATTGTCAAACCGTAGGTATTAGGTTGATATTGAGTTACTATTATTTGAACTCAACCCAATCCGATGAGCCCGATATCTTTTTTTTTTTTTTTGATTTAATATGATTGTTGAATTTCTATTAATATATACATTAGACAATTACACTATCATGTATGCTTTTCATATACACATATTTTCAATCTATTCACATATTTATACAACTCATTCGTATATATGTTCAGTAACTGTGAACATATATATATATATGTAAATTGAGAAAATTAACTGAATGTGATATACGTAAGAAATATGAATAAGTTGTATCAAATGGTTGATGATGAAAAAAAATTATGAGTAGAGAAATAACATATTTAAGGTTAGAATAATATTTTAATGTACCAAAGTATCAACCCAACCAACCCGTACAGGTTGAGTTGGGTTGGGTTGCACTTTGGTTTGGGTTGGGTTGGGTTAAGATTTTTCAAACCGCAAACATTGGATTGAGTTGTTCAAATGTCTTCAACCCAATCAACTCAACCCATGAGCACCCCTACTTAAAACCGATAATTTTTGGCAAGTTTTTATTATATTTAATTTTGTGTCTATTGAAACTAATAATTTTGTTGGTAAAGAAAAAAGCCTTGATTTTGATTTTGATATCGATAGCATATATCTTATTTATTGTCATTAAATTTTGTATATTTAAATTTGATCATTTGTTTATTTAGTAGTTGGGCATGTTGAAAAATGACACATAAGAATCTTTCTTCAATTTTATTATAATTTAATTTAAATCTCGATCTAACGTCAAAATGAACCATACATATATATATATATATATGTATATATATATATATATATATATATATATATATATATATGCACAAGCAGAATACAATGTCACAAGAATGGACAGTTGTTGACAAAAACGATTTGATAACGATGTTTTAGTAGTATATGTGACTGATATCTTACCAACTATATTATATTTTTAGATTATTTTATGATGAAGATATTTTGAATTTCTAAAAAATTAATGTTGAGATTAGTCCTAAATTGTTTCATGCGTTAAGGTGGTCGGTCATATGTTGATTTCTCTCCTTTTTATGTGCATTGGATTAGTAAACATACTACTCCTTTATTCCAAATAACTTAGGATCTAGTGCATTCTTATTTGCCTACATTTAATTCATTAAATTTCAATATTACTTTTGTTATTAATAATTGTTTATTAACCTAGATATCTAATCTGTTATACGAGTCAATTAATCCTAGAACGACCACTTGCTTTGCAGATAGCGTGGAGTTACCGTATTTGAACCTCCGTGGCCACAAGGGGATTTTTATTCCTCCTTGGATTTGAACATGGGAACTCCTGGTACTTTTGACCTTTGGAGTCAAGCTTAAACCAATCAGGCACCACCCTTGTCGTTTAATATTTGTACTTTGTTGTAATACTTTTAAATTTTGAAACGATTGTTGATTTAAAATTCTCAATAATACTACAAATAAAGGATAGATTTTTTACTATAAATTAATACTTAATTTAACTTGAATGTCAAGTCTAGATTTAACATCAACAATTGATAAACTAAATTTTAGATAAAAACTAAGTCAAGGTCGGGTGTTCTCAAAAC